GCTATAAATTTTATCCGTAATAAGTTATATTAACCGTATTTCTCAAGTGCAGTTACGGCCTTCAGCTACAGAGAGCGATTAACATAATAGCTTGCTTATTGAAGTTCGGGTCCCTGTGGCAGCCTCTGTTTAAACCTCCATTATCCATGCTGATGCCATGTTTCGACTTTACAGCCACTGCTTATTCCCATAGTGCGAAACGAAGGAACCTCCATTACCAGCCTCGATGCTGGCCTTGTTTATGACAGAAAGGACAGCAGTGGCAGACTCCTCAGGAGAAATGGCGCCTTCCCAATGCGGTGCGTAGCCTTTGAAAGCAGCTACCATATCCCGAACTCCCTGAAGTTGTTCTTCGGTGTCTGCTGCATATCAGCATATGATTCTTGTACTTAGGATGACAGATGCTTTGCCCCTATTCCCAGAACGGCAAATATTTGCAACGCATATCGTGTAGGTGAGCAGATCAGATGATTTGAGGGACTTACAATTGGACGTGTCCTGGGTGGCAACGAGACCAGGAGAAATGGCCATGAACAGGATACCCTCCTTCCTATACTGGGCATCGAACTTGGCAACGGCGATATTGAGTGCGCCCTTGCTAATAGTGTAGGGGGCCCCATCGGTGATGGAGAAATTGGTGATGAAATCTGGGTCGGCCATGCCCGACGAGATGGCGATGATCTTCTTGGCATGTCCCTTGTGGATAAGTGGCAGGGCTAGGTTGAACAGGTGAATGTTTCCGAGGGTGTTGATCTTGAAGGACTCGAGCATATCTTCTTCAAGTCTCTCGGGTTCCTCGCCCCTAACTTGTAAGCGCCTGAGCAATACATGGGTCGGGATGAACTTACAGAACGCCAATGGGGTTATGGGCTGACCATTCGGATTGAAGGGCAGCGTTGGCGATGATGTAGTCAAGGCTACCGCCTGTAATCTTGGCCACCTCTTTGACCAAGTTCTACTTCTGTGGTCAGCGTCAAATTTAGTGATAAGACAAATTGATTACTTACCTTTACATCCTCCAGCTTCTGAATCTCGCCTTGGACAGTGTGAATGTTGGATCGTCCAGGTAATTCACGCTGAATCTTCTCTTCAGTTGCCTTTTTGTTGCGGACGAATCCAATGACGGTGTTGTTTGAGTCAGCCGACAATTGACGAACAAACTCGAACTATGAGATGTTAGTGTCGTTGTCAACAAGATGAGTCTGGGGACTTACACCCAGGCCTCGGGATGTTCCGGTGATGAGATAAGATGGCATCGTGATGTCGGTTTGATGTTTAGGTTTGTTGAAGTAAGTATTTTTTGGTAGTAGTATTTGTGTTCGATGAAGAATTGAAGATTTAAGACGACCCTCCAAGCCCTTATATATATCATTCTCAAGACACAGTTTCCATCATGAAAGTATTGGTGCTTTGTAATTCGGATTGACCCACCGCGATACGCCTCTTGGTCAGCGAGCTAGTGGAGGCTTATAGTGGGTCCCTCGCAAAAAGTTGCCCTGAGCCAAAGGCCTACCATAAGCCGCATCCGCCATAGTCGCATTTATCGTGGGCTTCACAACTGTGATCAGTATGAAATGTAGGCGAAATCTCATTATTAATCTTTTGAGTCTATTGTAATTATGCACCTCTTTGCGAACTGGGGCGATTTCTAATCCTCTGGACATACCAGGTTCTTGAAGTTCAATGACACTAAATTGGAGACGCCAGAACTACAAATCGTGAAGTCAAAGTTGAATAAGCATTCGACGTGCCAAGATCCGGAGGTAACTAACTATTATGCATGAGTTTCTATAGTCAACTAGACATCTAGTATCACGCCGTCGTTTTGTTCGACTATATGAACGCAGGTACTGACTTATGAGTCGAGCTCAGAATAACACCCAACTTCCTAACATAATTCATATCTTCCGTGTACAAGTCCTTTTGCACCCAGACCGTTTCTATAACCCTTTTAACGGTCGCAATATTTCGATACTGCAATTTCTTAGTTGTCCTCTCCATAACATCCAGAATGATCATCCTTTGCCTATCGCTTTCTGCCTCGCAGCCAAATATAAGTAAAGGAAATGGCCATTGACAGGCAGGTAGTCGTTCAACCAACTCAAATGCCTGACCGACCCATGTTGCGAACTTTGTATCCAGTGGAAGTATTCCTGCAGATGCTCGACGAAGGTAGATCAGGGTAGATAGGCGGTACAACTCGACCACTAGATCAAATGCTGGATGCGTTGTATCAGCAGAAGAGGTGTTGTTCGGAGCTTCTTTCTCAAGGTTGCGCAGCTTCCAATCTAGTATTTCAAGATGGCCTCTATGAGCCTTCGTTTCATAACGCGGGTCGGAAGGCACTGTCACAGCGTTGAAAGCTTCTGACAGAAGATATAGTATCTCATGAGGTGCACCCGTGAGCGCTTCAGGCTTTGAGTTATGCTCTGTCAGCAAGTTCCATTTATGGGTAAATGATGGGAATAACATACTTGGCCGTTGCCGCATACCACCGGATGGAACGAATCAGCAGCTTCATCAGCGTCAAGCGTGACATGTGGCTGCCAGTGGCGCAGACTGAACCTGGACAAAGTGTTATAATAATGCACCCAGCCTACAAGAGCAGCTGTGTCATGGTCAAGGTTATCCACATCTAGCCCAGCTGTCTTGACGATCTTGGCAGCGCCACAAGCGTACCATAGCCAATGGCTTGACTTCATGGAGTTTTGCTGTATCTAATGCAAGAATTAGTGCATCCCTTCTTTAAGGGTTCGGCCCGTACCTCTAGCGTGCTTAGTATCATGCCAGCTGCTATGTGACAGGCCGAGTCGGTAACGCTGATGCGACCTTGTGTAGACTCTGCTAGTTTTCGCAGAGCGGCTACTTTGTACTGGGCGGTCGTTTGCGGTGAGTTGGCCCGATGGAAGGACGCGAGTGCTAGAGCAGATTTTAGAACTGCTGTAGATGAAGGTGAAAAGTCAGAAAGGGCTATCTGGATCAGTAGTTCCCGGACCCTTGGAGCATCGTGACCAAAGGTTGTGATGGAGTATGACGCTGTTTGTATAACTGGCTGGAGTAAGCGAAAGCCGTTTGCAAGGCGCATGTAGTTATGCACTGGTCGATCAGACTTACAGTACTGAAAGGAGCTCTGATCGGCCGGACTTAGTCGAGCTATAGGTCCCACTCCAGGTCCTTTTATCAATGATAGTGGTTGTGATGCCTCAAGAGGGCTGGCATCAGGGGAACCAAAGGATACTTCGGGCAGTCCCAGCATGTGTACTCCATAGGTCTTGTCGGACACGGATACTACATCGTGCAGCCTAATATCTGTGGAGGTAGTGTTCACCAATCGATGCTCAGACAGTCTACCCTTAAGACGCGGCCTTGGGCCAACAATAGCCCGCCGGGTGTCGTTACGACGGGGCCAAGACAACTGCATGCCGTAACCCTTGCAGTGACGTCCTGATTTGATGCATCGATTACATCTGGGATAGGCTTGGTCGCAGCGCACTTTACGAGCTGTCATTCATGTCAGCAGTCTAAACGCCATTTACAAGGATCAGAAGAGGCAAACCTCGACAAGTTCCGCAACCTAGAGATGGCATTGTGATGGCGCAAAATGTGTCACAATGTTGCTCGCAAATAATTGCCACTCCCGATCCTCCCTGGATATCTAGATGGCTTGAGGGAAGTAATATGACAATCTCCGCCAGTGGATGATACGCTCCGCCGATTACCAACATCAGGTAAGCAGCCACAGACAGGATGGGGTCGGTAATATGCCGGCTATACTTTCTTTCAATTATGCGCAACTTTTTGCGAGATGATTATCAATGTGGAGAGACGGAGCTAAGCTGTTATTATACTGGTTCAACTCTATCTTTAGAACAAGATTCCAGACACCATGGATAGCCTAGGGTAAGCACAGTACTGTATTTAGCAAATATCTAGTAGTTAATGGCAGTCATACTGATACTAATCCGTGTCTATATAGAGTCAAATAGACTTTTTAGTTAAGCTTAAAGACTGACTGTATTTGAGCGGTTGATTATTACTAGTAGCGTGAAGCAGCAAGTCATTGGACAAAGTGCATCCAGAATGCCATCAATGTGAGTGAGATGTTTCTCCTAAAATGTAGCTACTTATCTTAAGACAAAATTTCCTCAATAATCACAGCAGAATGCAAGTAAGGTATATCTCAATCTGAACTAATGCCTCTATAAGCTGTTTATTTAACTGTATGCTTTCTTATAAATTCAGTACATACACGTGATTTAACTTAACTAATCAAGTCACCACTCGTTATCGATTATCTATCGATAATCAATAATCGATAAGATAAGCATGAGCCTTATCATCGGCGTCTTGGTGGAGTGGCCACATCTCAAAACACCGGTCGGCTGAACCAATAAACTCAGCTAGAGCGCACTAACAATATTGTGATTGGCACACCACCCTAGTCCAAGGTGTCAAGAGAAAGGCGGAACGATTATCAATGAAGACCTGTCTGCATCAAAAAGAGTGCATCTGCACAGCAAAGCAAAGTTCTTTTGATCCATCCTTCTGTACCCTTTATCCCTATGCTTTCACGGTGGCTGATTACTGATGCGGCGATATTTCATCACCTTCCAAGGCAGCAATGACAATGACTCGACTGCGACCGGCACGATAAGATAACACACAGCATGGCCGCGGCACGATGTAATAAGTCGCCCGAGTACTTCTTCGCGATGGTGTTGCGAATGCATCTGCCTTGGACCACTGACAAATCCAATCACCACGATCGCGATCCCCTCATCCTCAAAATCATGGCAGGCGTACATAATGACGTTGCAAGGAATAATCACAAAATCGCTCCGTTGAAGCAAACACGGTGAAATTGCATAACTTTCAGCGGTTTGTGTTCACTAATCACCTGGAGATGCCGCTTAGCTGAGCGTCGCAGGGCTTAGCGCGATGTACAATCGCCGCAATGCCCGCAACTTTCGCCGCATATCGAAGATGGCGCGGATGGCTTTATAAGTTAATATTGACTTGTCAGCAAGCAAGATACGAAAATTCGGTTTGAGATTATGAGATACTTCGACAGTTATTTTGAGTATGGCCGATCAGAATGTACACCAAACGCAACGACGGTAAGTAGCACTTGGAGGGCTAATAATATAAGAGCTAATGAGTATAGACCTCATGGAGTCGCTTGTACGCCATGTCGCCGGTCAAAGATGAAGTGTGTTACTTCGGATCCGTCAGCTGTTATCTGTGATCGGTGCCAGAGACTCAGGAGACAGTGTGTATTTGAGTCGCATCGTAGGGGCCTTTGGAGAAGAGATCTGTCAGGGAGAAGGTAGGCGAAACTATGTGTCGGAGTGATGAAGTTGACAATCGCCATAGAGAAGATCAAACACGTCCTGTGGAAGAGGTCATGGACGATGGCTTGGCTTCTGGCTCCTCAGGATCACAGCGCTTCTCGGATACTCAAGTCTTTCAAGCTCCCGATCTTCCAAGTAGGAGGAATTCGTATCAGAATCGAGCTCCCGAGTCAGTCTCCGCGTCTTCCAGATCTGGTCAGTCGCCATTTACGCCAGCATCTTTTGTTGCAAACTACCAGGATACACGAGGGTTGTCACTGGGTGCAGCTCTCGACTCCGACCGGTCGGTTGAAGGAGAGACCAGAGACTCTCTAGATACGCTCCTTCAGCACAATCTATCCGAAGCAGTGATATCACAGAGAAAACACGATCCTATTGACATGGGACTTATCAGTCGACCATCTGCACAAAATCTATATGAAGGGTGGGTATAACATGATTTACAAGAGTTCAGTCACTGATTTGTGCAGATTCTTCAAGCACTTCAACTCCCTCGTTGGACTCCTCGACCCCAGTCTCTACACGTTCTCCTATACAAGATCTAGGTCAATTCTCCTATTCACCATGATTCTTGCAATTTCATCACGGATCTTCCAACCAGAATCTCATAAGCCTATACGAGATCATGCCGAGTTTCTCCTTGGCCAAGCTTTACTCGCATGTGACTCAGCAGTCGAGAACATATGGGCCATCATCTGTATGTATCACTGGAAAGACGCGAACGATACAAGAGGCTACACCTTGATCGGGTTTGCGATTCGAATGGCAGCTTCAGCAGAATGGAATATGACACGAGGACGTGTCTCGTATGACAACCAAAGATTTGAGGAGTTGGGAGAGCTTCAAGTGCGGCAGAGAAGAGACAAAGATCGGGTGTGGATGGTACTAGGAAATATTGAGCGGATGTGAGACCCTCTGAGTCAGGATGGAGACAGAGGACTAAGCTTACAGTCACCAGATCAAGTTGCTTTACCGATCGGCCTCTATCACCAACAGTCGTTCTCGACCATGCAGCCTCTAGGCAGTGGATTGCCCTGACAGAATGGACATATCCACTCGGAGATGGAAAGGCAGTTGCTGGCCATGAGTTGACGAGCATTGCCAGCCAGGCTCATGAGAGCACGACGAGAAGCAGTATCGACTCTCGTCTTTCTCCGTCAGCGCTTAATTTTGAGACATTCCAAAAGGACATAGATGACTTTAACAACAGTATTGCTGCCTGGGGAGACTATTGGCATGCTACCTTCGATACGTGTGAGACAGTAATTACAGAGAATGGAGAATCATACCTAACATTATCTAGTTCCCAACCCAGAGCCTTTCCAAACACCTCTGGTCTGTCTTTTGAGAGATTACATCCGTCTGTACTCCAACTCGGTATTTCTACATCGAATGATCGTCTCGGGAAGCAGATCTACGCCGCAGGATCTCACCACTCATACCGCTCGAGTCTGTTTCTGCAGTGCATTGAGTGTACTGCGACAGGCCATCGAAATGGGAGAGTTAGAGATCATCTACTACCTCTGGGATACAGCGCACCTAATGATCGCCTTCTCAGCAATGATGATTCCAAAACTACTACGGCAAGATATCGACGAGTCATCGGTCTCAAAGAACGCAGCTATCAATACGGTGACTCAAGTTACGTCTGCATACTTCAGTGCCGCCAAGTCAATAGGCACCTCTGATCCAGAGAACAACACTGTCTTGGCTCAAGCTCGTCTCCTCTCCGCCATTCTAGCACGACTCAAAGCCGAACTGGCGCAAACGAATCCCGACATGATGTGTCCGACTATGCCTGACAATCTCTCCATCTCGGGGCTCTCCTGGATCGAAGACCAGTTAAACAGGTCTACGTTCTTCTCTGACGGAAGGATGGAACCGCCGTTGTCCGAGTACGTTGACATGGACACCCAGACCGTGGGGCCGAACGAAGATATGAGCTCGTTCATCCCGCATGTGTACGAGGAGTTTGACCTCATGTTGGATGATGATTTTGTGAGCGCGAAGTATTTCGAGGTTGGGTTGCTCTCATGGAATGAGCCGGGCATATTTATACAGCCTCGTTAGCTTCGCGAGAACTGTTCCTGTAAAATAATAGTTTGTAGCAACCTGTATATCTGTCCTGGCACTGAATCTCCAGTCGTCACCTATGCTCCGACATCTACATCTTACAAGGGGCAGCAAAAGTCTGGATCCTGGCAATTGATTGATTCAAGCCACTATTGTCAACACTTTTACGGTAAGGAGTTGGACTATCAGGCTTGCAGCCTGCTTCGTTACTTTTCACATCAAAAGCTTAGGTGCAATAATTAAACCTGAACATTGATTGTGCAATAGGCTGGTGAAAACTTCATATAAGCTTAAGAGCTTATTGGCCTTGGGAGTCAGTTACCAAAGTCTAAAATTTGACCTTACTCCCCGAGACTGGGGACCATCTACTGTAACCCTAACAGATAGGACCGAATACTATAATTCTGTAGATCCTTCTTATGTAGCATTCTATGCCTCCACTAGGCACTGCGGTAGAATCTCCATAAAAATTGTCAAGGGAATTGGCACAGCTCTTCGATGACATTCGCTGTTCACAGTGACGTCAAGTTGATATAACCCTCATTTATCGCCACGGGTCTTGACCGAGATACATCCTGGTGACGACATAGCATATCATATAAGCAAAAGAATTACCATCCTGATCATATTTGAGCTTCACCTCAGAATTTTCCTCGTTTATATCGCGACGTGATAAGTAAACCCTCATTTTTAGCCATCAACAAGCTTTTCACATCGCAACGAGCGTAAGATTTGCCACAACGGTTCATCATGTCAGAAAGACAAATAGCAAAGGTAAGCTTCACGAATTCTGGGTTACAAAGTTCTTGCTAATTGGATTATGAGCAGATCGGTATGGTGGGAATGGGCAGCATGGGCTCCATGATGTCCCTCCTCTTCGCTGAGAAAGGCTGCAAAGTGTACTACTTCGACATCAGTACGTGACATACCTCACCGCGCCTTACAGTCACTGACCATTTTAGGCGAATACAATATGAAGGCAGCCGAGAAAATGGTCAAAGACGTCAACGAGGAAACGCGAGTCTTTCGCCAACACAGCTATCAACAACTCTGCGGAGAAATATACTCCGAGAACCACCCACGGATCATCATCTTCAGTATCCCCCACGGAAACCCTGGCGATGAATGTGTCAAGGCTCTGCGACCGTACATGACAAAGGGAGATATTATTCTTGACTGTTCAAACGAGTTCTACGGTAACACGGAACGACGACAAGCGGATCTCGCAAAAGATGGCATTTTTTATGTCGGATGTGGCGTCTCAGGCGGGTATCAGAGTGCACGAGCTGGTCCGTCAATGTCACCTGGCGGCGACCCCCAAGCCCTCGAAATCATCATGCCGCTTCTCAAAAGAGTCGCAGCAAAAGATCGCGATGGTAAACCATGTACCAGCCCAATTGGCCCAGGCGGTTCAGGGCATTATGTCAAGATGATCCACAATGGAATCGAACAAGGCATGATGTCAGTTATTTCGGAAGTATGGTATATCCTCACCAAGGGTCTTCAACTCAACTACGAAGAAGCAGCTGGTGTTTTTGAGAAGTGGAACCAGACACCGGAGCTTTACAGTACGTTTCTGATCTACATCGCTGTTGATATCAACAGGGCGAAAGATGAGGAGGGACGATATGTCCTGGGCAGGGTTCAGGATAAGGTTGTGCAGGATGTTGATAACACTGAAGGGACGGGGACGTGGTCTTGTGAAGAGGCGGTGAGACTGCATGTCCCTGCTGCGAATATCGTCAGTGCGCATTTATTCAGATGTACTTCGGCTGAACTGAGTCAGCGCGCTGCAGATGCTGAGGTTTCAGGACGTTGGCAGCCTTCAGTGATGAAAGTCACTTCGAAGGACGGCTTTATCGAAGATCTGCGGAAGGCGACATACTTTTGTTTGTTGCTGTGCTTCACGCAGGGTCTGCAGATAATTCGCGAAATGGATCAACAACGCGAATGGCATATCAACTACCAAGACCTACTACACGTATGGAGCGCTGGGTCAATCATTCAAGCAGGAGGCATCATGGATCTTCTTCACAAAGTCTACAGCGAATCGCCCAACCAGAAGAATAACCTCTTATCCAACAGCCAACTCGAAAAACAACTAACAAGCCTTCTGCCTTCAATGAAGCGATGTATCCTCACAGCATTGGAGGCTGATATGGTGATTCCAGCGATGAGTCAAAGTTTAGAGTACTACAAGTATTCAACCTCTGTCGATTTGCCTACCCAATTGACGGAAGCGGAGCTGGATTACTTTGGCAATCATAAGTTCGATCTGAAGGAGGAACATCGAGGTGAACCAAGCAAGGGAAAGCACCATTTTGAATGGAAGCCAGCGAAGGGCGAGTCTGACAAGTCTCGGCTTTGAAGATGTTAGAGTAGCAAGCGAGAAATTCTTCTGATGTAACATCAGGGTGCCATGATGAACTAGTCTAACGCTTCATAAGATCTACCAAACTTTCCAAAGTCTATTCATCGGTCCCGACTCCCAAATCCTCGTATCTCCCCTTCAATAATCCCCGAATACTCTCCGTACCAACATAAGCAATTGCAATTATCTCGCGAGATCATCATCTCGGCTCGGAGATATCATCGCGTCTTCGCGCCTTCCAAAACAACCCTGATAAATCTTTCTGCTTACGTTCGGGCCGCGATCGGCATTCCCGTGCCGATTGAGGTTATTCACAGATTATTCCCGGAAATCCTCACTACCCACTAACCGGTAACCCATATCAGGAACAGCGAGCGAGTAAAAGTCGCCACATAAACATGACGTAACCCCGACGGCCATTCCTTGAACCGTCCCCACTGAAGAAATTGTTTTCGATTGAGTTGGGCTCGGTGTTAGGGGACTAGTCGCCGAATCTGGCACCGTCATTTCTGATAAAAATACACGGCATTCCACTTCATAATCCTCTCTTTTTTTGATCGAGGTTGGTTCAATCATCTATGAATTGACCATGGAGAAAGTCGAAACTTCACATTCAGATCATAACGATCGTCGAGAATCCCATACTTCTCATAGTGATGAAGAATCATCTATATCATCATCTTCACACCACAACCAGCAAAATGACGACATTTCACGGACATACTCCCTCGGCGACACAGAATGGCAGAGCATTCGCGCCCCCAACACTGGAGTGAGCATGACGCGAACTGTGTCGCGGAGAGAATCTGTCCTATCGAGGATTCGATCTCGACCTGTACCCGTGTTTACGCATCCCCTCGCGCACGTCAAAACCACAGAGGATCAGCTCGTTGATTTCGACGGGCCAGATGATCCGTACAGACCGATGAACTGGCCCAACAAAAAGAAGATTCTTACGACTATGCTGTACGGGTTAGTCACCATGTCAGCGACCTGGGCGTCTTCGTCGTATTCTGCTGGTACGGCACAAGTAGCAAAGCATTTCCACGTCGGCACGCAAACCGCTACTCTCGGCACGACGCTGTTTCTTGTGGGCTTTGGAATTGGGCCTTTGCTTTGGGCGCCGCTGAGTGAAGTCTACGGACGACGACAGGCGGTGCTTATTCCAATGTTTATAGCGATATGCTTCAGTTTCGGAAGTGCAGTCGCGAAAGATTTTCAGACACTCATGATCACGCGATTCTTCTGTGCGTTCTTTGCTTCAGCGCCTGTTACGAACACAGGTGGTGTTCTAGGCGATTTATTTCTCCCGTCGGAGAGGGGAATTGCAATGGCGGGGTATGCCATGGCTGTCGTTGGAGGTCCTGTTCTCGGTAAGTCTGGCATTTATACTTTGTGAGGAATTGTCTTGGCTGACGGTTTTGTCTTAGGTCCTATTGTTTCAGCTGCTGTGGTGCAGGACCCGAGTCTTGGCTGGCGGTGGACTGAGTACCTTACCGGTATTGTTCAGATCATATTTTTAACACTGGCTGTTATTTTCGTCGATGAGAGTTATCCACCGAAACTTCTGATCTACAAGGCTAGGCGATTGCGGCACGAAACGGGCAATTGGGCGCTTCATGCGAAGTTTGAGGAATGGGATGTTAGCATCAACGAACTCGCGCGAAAGTTCTTGGTCAGGCCTGTTCAGCTTCTCATGACGCCTATTTGCTTCCTCGTTGCGTTATACGCCAGTTTCTGCTACGGTATTCTCTACATGCAACTTGGCGCTATTCCCATCATCTTCAGGGAGATCAGAGGCTGGGGCATTTTGGTATCGTCACTGCCTTTCATCTGCATTCTTCTCGGAGCCATTCTTGGATGTGCAGCGAATGTGTATAACCAGCTTCTCTACAACAAAGCCTACCACGCAGCTGGAAACCATGCTGTCCCCGAAAAGCGTCTGCCTCCTATGATGGTTGGCTCCGTGATTTTCAGCGGTGGTCAGTTCCTTATTGGTTGGACTGCGCAGAAGAATATTCACTGGGTTGTTCCCTGCATTGGTCTTGTTTTGTTGGGAACGGGCTTCTTTACTATCTTCCAAGCTGCGCTGAACTATCTAGTCGATACGTTTACGATGTACGCTGCTTCAGCTGTTGCGGCCAACACGTTTCTTCGATCTTGCTTTGCAGCTGCTTTCCCATTGGTAGTTGGACCACTGTATCACAACATTGGTGTTGGACCTGGGTCTAGTATCACTGGTGGTTTTGCAGCGTTGTTGATCCCTGTTCCGTTTGTGTTTTATATCTATGGCAAGAGGATCAGGGCGAGATCCAAGTGGTCAAAGGCGTCAGTATACGACTAAGGAAGCAAAGTTGCTAGGGCAAGATGTGAAGAAATGACAAAGTAAATTTATAGATAGTCTAAGATTGCAATAATACCCCAAATGTAATAAACGCCATGCTCATCTATGTATGCTCCTATTTGTTGCCAACCTGTTTGTTCCATAACTCCTTGTACCTCCCGTCTATTGAGATCAGCTCCGCGTGTGTACCAGACTCAACGACCTGTCCGTTGTGAATAACCAAGATCTTGTCCGCGTTGACAATAGTGGATATTCGATGCGCAATGACGAATGTCGACCTGGCACGTTTCAACTCATCCAGAGCACCCTGGATACTTGACTCTGTATTCGTGTCAACTGCACTCGTTGCCTCATCGAGAATCAAGATGGGAGGATTCTTGAGGAAGACTCGAGCGATCGCTAGTCTCTGGATCTCTCCTCCTGACAGCTTGACACCCTGCTCTCCAACCTCTGTATTATATCCATCGACGAAGCTCAGAATCTTGTCGTGGATGGCTGCAGAGCGACAAGCGGCGTAGATCTCCTCGTCTGTTGCTGAAGGTCGGGCGTAACGCATGTTCTTGAGGATCGATGCGTTGAAGAGAAGTGGATCTTGAGGAACGACACCGAGAGCATTTCTCAGCGAGCTGAGAGTAATATCCCGGATATCATAGCCGTCAATAGTAATGGACCCCTCATCAATATCGTAGAACCGAAGTAGCAGCTTCATGATAGAAGACTTGCCAGCTCCCGTCTCACCAACCAACGCAACAGTCTGTCCAGGCTCAACTGACAGTGAAAGGTCTTGGATTGTTGGTTTCCGAGGATCATAAGAGAAGCAAACGTCATGGAACGCAACACGTCCCTCGACCTTCTCTAGGTCCTTAGCACCCTCCTTGTCAGTGATAGTGGGCTTCGTCTGCAGCAGATAGAGCAGACGTTCAGCATCTACCAAGTCTGACATGAGCTGTCTGTAACTATGGGACAGGAACTTCAACGGCCAGACTAAGTATTCCCAGTACTGAATGAAGAATACAAAGTCACCGGGGGTTGAATAACCGTGCCAAATGTCGTAGATGACAAGACTCGCCAGTGTACAGAAAGTGCACGGGATAAGAGCGTTGAGTAACAGCTGGATGTAAGCATCCCTCTTCTCGAAGTTCAGACCAGCGGATAGCTGCTTGTTCACCGCCGATCCGAAGCGATACTTCTCGTAGTTGAACATGTTGAAGTAAGTGACGGTCTGCCAGCCCTGAACAGCTTGATGCATAACACGGACTTCTTCTCTCTTGGACTTTGTCGATTCTCGTCGGTTGTCGAGGTTCCATCCTGTCGCTTTGACTTCGAACGTGATGAAGAGGACTGAGCCAATTGCCATGGCGAGGGCGACATAGCTGTTGAACTTCCAGTAGAGAAATACAAAAGCAATAGCCAGATCGATAACAGTTGGGAGAATTTCGATGACAAGCATGTCAAGCACGTTGGTTAATGCTTCACCCTGTTCAATAGCCTTCATAACCTCTGCCGAGTCACGCTCAGAGTGAAACTCCATGGGCAGTGACAGAACATGGTTAAACGCTGCATTCGTGAGAGATCGGTATGAGAACTGCTTGATTGGGATTTTGGCCAATGACTCAATCAGCCCGACGACGACATCGTGAGAAGCAAGGCTCATGACCAACCAGATGAACAAAGCATGGAAGGGATTCTCCTTGGCGAGAAGTTGATCGGCCACAATGCCCAGTTGACGAGGAACCAGGATGTTGAAGACTCGAGTAGCCAGAATACAGAACAGAGAGATCAAAATGCAGAGCTGGACCTTGCGGTCTTTCTTGGGGATCAAGAAGGGGAGGAAGATGGAAAAGTCGGAGAGGTAGCCTAGCCAACCACCTTTCTCCTTGAGTTTCTTTGCGCGTTGGCGTTTGATTTCGATGACATCTTCGTCTGATTCGCTGCCGGAGATGTACTCGTCGTCATCGACCTCTGTGTCTGACGCTGTCTCGGTGCCGTAGCTTGGACATGCTCTGCCATTTGCATGGCCGTTTGATTGAAGAAAGGGCTGTGATTCTTCTGCTTCTGAGTCGGGGGTGTAGAATCTACCGCTGTTGGAAAGATGGTAGATCGTGAGGAAAAGAAGAGGTAGGAGTCTGATTGTTTGAGATGCAAGTTGTACAATATGATAAATATCATTCCGGCTGTTGATGGTGGAGAATATCTGCAGCGGTATCTCAAAAGCAAGGGTGATAAGCGATGTTCCGAGGACCAATGACCGCGGGGCACTTCGCTGACTCCAGATAAACGCCCATAGCGATAAGAGCACGACAAGGTGTATCGTCTCAGGCTCTTTACTCTGCTGACTCTCCCGCACAAACGTCACTACACCCTCAGCCAAATACCCCAGGATCAAAAGGCTGATAGCAAGACGATCATAATTCCGTGGGGTATCTTTCCTAGTGGTACAAGCGGCGTTGAGGATGGTAACGACCGAGACGAACACTACAGCCACGGAAGAGCAGCTGTAGTGGAGGATATTTGAGACCTGAAGGATTGACGGCATGCCGGGCAGGTAGAAGAAAAAACGGTGTGATTTTTATTTTAGCTATTGAGAACCGTCTGATCAAATCTTATATACCAAATTCCTCAGCCCTACGTGTAACGCAGCCAAGGTCATTTGAGGCGCATATATTCGACGCAGCCAATCGGCGAGGGTATGAGTCAATGCCACAGCGGGTCTCGCCACGAGACGCAACCTCCTTTGAGTAATTAGTTTCGACGCGCTGATTGGCTACGGCGTACTCTGCTGTGGGGGGGTGGGG